TATATATATATATATATATAGAGAGAGAGAGAGAGAGAGAGAGAAAAGGAAAATGGACGGAAAAAGCCACTGAGAAAGAGAATATATGACTAAGCTGGAATCTAGTTTTGGACCTAAAATTGTCAAATAACTCGTGAGGGTTGCATACACAAACGAACATGTATCTACGAAGCTATAACAAGACCCAGGACTACAAAATCATACGCTAGTTTATTTAGATAAAAAAAGGTGCGACCACATCCGCTTACTTTCCTGCATCACTATCGTTCGCATACATTGTTGTAGGACAAGCATAAAGCAGCCAAGTCATAGAATGTCTCATTGAGTTTGAAAAGTGAAGTATAAGAAGTAGGTAAGATCTTAGCTGGCAAGCTTTCTTTGTTTAGTTTTGTTGCTGATTGTTCGTGAATAATGGATTCTGACTCTGACGATATCCGTGACATGACGCACGAAAACTCAGCACGGAATCATCGGGGTCATACGACGGTGAGCCGAGGTCTTCTTCGCATAATTCAACAGACTAAAGTCCAAGGCAACTCTCCTGTATCCGGTGAGGCCAATCTACGAATAACTTATACACGCCTTCTCAAACGAAATAAAAAGTATGCCATTATCAATCTGCTAAGAGATTCTTCGAAGCCCAAAACTCCTATTTTAACCTAATACCTATGACTTTAAGAGAAATTTACTAGGTACCTCGCATTTGTTGGTTTGCTATACACATTTCTACACAGTTTGTTTCACTCTTTGCCAATGAGGACATATAGAAAAGGTGAATTACTATCATTTAGATTTCTTTTCACGCCATTCTAATGGAGTTAAAGAAGGAGCAATAAAATCCATGATAATAATGAGCAAATGCTAACTATCGGGTGCAGGGAACTGAGGCGATTGAGAAAACTTTTACTTGAGAAGGATTACACAATAGAACTAATTGAGAATTGCCCTAAAATACTTGTGATTAGGATAGAGGGAAGCATATATTTGAGGCAGGATAGGCAGCTGCACCACTAGTCTAAGGTCCTGAGGTTACCGTTTAACCTATCAAAAAAGAAAGTTGAATTACTGAGGAAGTGGGAGAAAATAACATTTCTCAGTACTGCCATCTTTTCAGGAAATTTCGAACCACCTTCCCTGATCTGGCTGCTGTAAGCTTTTGTGTTCGTGTAATAACGTCTATGTGGAGAAGACTTGTAGACCCATGCATAAGAGGTTATCTGAGCATAAAACAGCCTGCAAAGGTTTGCGGGTCCAAAAGTCAAGATTGGAAAAACACAGCCCACACAGGACACCAGATAGACTGGCCTAATGCCAAGCTCTTGGCTGGATATGGAGACTATACCAGTAAGCGGAAAATTAGGCAATCTATAGACACCAGCAAAGCAGCC